CACTCTTAGTAGATGTATAACATACTGCACAAGGAACATTGTGATCATGCTTTCCTGGAAATATACCATTAACATTTTGATATTCAGTACCATACATTAGAGCATAATATGTTGAAGGTACATGTGCACTCATATATTGAGGGACCTTTGGTAAACAGACATAGTTAGCTCCTCCTCCTGTATGACTGTAGTGACCACCTCCAGCTATTCCCTCATACAGTAGTTCAACTCCAGTAGGACAGGACTTCCTTCCCCAATGAGTGTACACTACTCCTCCACTTTTAGGACCAGTGTCTCCTCTTGCTCCAGTTTCACCTTTCTCTCCCTTATCTCCTCTCTCTCCTTTCACTCCATCTCTTCCTGGTAGTCCATCACGACCATCTCTACCACGTAATATTTGAAGATACACTGATCTAACCAGAGTACCATTAACCTTCTCTTCAGTAATTAGAGAAGGTGATCCTCCTACAATTATGTTACAGATAATACATTTGTATTTGTATCAGTAGCACACACAGAATAACCACACCAACCAACCTTGGCAAGTTTTCTGTGAAAATTAATTGTATCCAGCTATTCTAAATTTCAAATGAATCTGCCTGAACATGCAATGTTCCATAATGTGCATGTGGCAGGAAGTACAATATAAACCAATTGCCAAGTTATTAAGGTTAATCTTCTATCCTATCTTTTTAGCATAATCTTACTGATGCCAATGAATTAAACAAGGTTTGGTGGGACTCAATGGCATTTGATGTGTATCATTTAGGTCCTACTGCAATGGATCCTCAAATGAACGTAATTTTATTGCAATCAACATAGTTCAAGGCTATAATTATTGATAAGATTTACCTTCATTAGTTGCTGCTGCTGCACTGATGATGGCTAGGGCCAGTAGAAGACCAGATATAGCTTGCATGACTAGATTCTGTTTAACGTGTACTCTTACTACACCCTTTTTATACTACTGGAGAACAGACATCAAAGTCTAATAACCATCTCTTCTGATCTTGCTTCATATTATACTTCATAGTATGCATTGTTATATTTGATTGGTTTAAGCCTTCATGTGGGACCCTTAACAAGAATAGTAGTGAGAAGAAACCTACTGATGTTATTAGCTTACTCACAAATTTTCTTTTTGACATTAACATCAAAAGTCTGCCAGTTGCTATCTTAATTTTTCTCACTATTGTACTATCTTCTGATTCAAAATGTAGCCATTAAAAGAATAGTTAATTCCAGTCTCTGCAGCA